TAGTTAATAGTAATGTATCAATATGGGCCAGCCCCGTGGCTTAGCGGTTAAGTGCACGTGCTCCGCTGCTGGCGGCCCGGGTTCGGATCCCGGGCACGCACCAACGCACCGCTTCTCCGGCCATGCTGAGGCCACGTCCCACATACAGCAACTAGAAGGATGTGCCGCTATGACATGCAACTATCTACTGGGGCTTTGGGGGGAAAAAATAAATAAATAAAATCTTAAAAAATAATAATAATAATAATGTATCAATAGAGGGTCATTAATTGTAATGAGTGTACCATACCAAGGCAAGATGTTAACAATGGGGGGAACTGGTGGGGAGGGTAAAGGGGGTATATGGGACTCTCTGTACTTTCTGCTCACTATTTCTGTACACCTGAAACTGCTCTTAAAAATAAAGTTTATCAACAAAAAAATCTTAATAAGTAAATAAGGATAGTAACGAACTATAACCAATTGAATGAAATACGAATCTATGAGTCCATACTGATAATAAATAACGGAAAGAAGAGAAAGCTCTTTCCTACAACACGTTGACTAATATTTGTGGTGGGAGAGGCAGGGTTAAAAAATTACCATTTCAGGGGCCGGCCCAGTGGTGTAGCGGTTAAGTACGCGAGCTCCGCTGCCAGCGGCCTGGGTTCCGATCCCCGTTGTGCACCCAGGCACCGCTTGTCAGGCCATGCTGTGGCGGCGTCCCACATAAAGTGGAGGAAGATGAGCACGGATGTTAGCTCAGGGCCGGTCTTCCTCAGCAAAAAGAGGAGGACTAGCATGGATGTTAGCTCAGGGCTGATCTTCCTCACAAAATAGACTTATTTAAGTTACCATTTCACAACCATCAGAGTAGACTGGCTCAGACAGGCATCGTTAATGGATGTTAATTCTAGACAGAAACGTTTGATGAAGAGCAGGGTATTGCAAGATCTCAGGATATCTCTCCACAGATTAGTTGCAAGGGGAAAAACAGTAACTATACAGTGGAGAAACCGGGTAACACTTTGACCACATGATCAAAATTAACATCACCAAAGAGGGGCTAACAAACATAGCGTGCCTGCAGATGGGCTATCTGAGGACACCATGCAATTTATGCAGTATTGCAGCCAGGAATACATAATCTGAATCTAATCATGAGAAAATATTAGATAAACCCAAACTGAGAAGCATTCTATAAAATAATCAGCTTATATTAAAAAAAAAAAGTCAGTGTTGTGAAAGACCAAAGCCAGGTAACTGCTCCAGATTAAAGAAAGCTAAACAAGTTGAGGGAAACTATATGTGTGAGTTTGTATGTATATTTGTGTGTGTATATACACAGAGAGAGACAGAGCACAAATGTGGCAAAACATTAACAGTTTGGTGAATCTGGGCAAAGGATATGCAGGAGTTCTCTTCCTATTTTTGCAACTTTTCTGTAAATTGAAATTATTTAGAAATAAAAAGTTAAAAAGATGTTTTATGGAAAAACTGCAAGTGTAACCTCTGATGGATCATTTTGACTTGAATAAAGGGGGCGACAGTGGGGGGAGGTCTGGGGTAAGTTTATAGAGCTAGCACCACACAGGAAATTAATTCATGCTTCATCCACAGACAAACTATTACAGCAAATAAGTTGCAACTGAGGTGCATAAAATGTTGCCAGGTGTCACATCTACAGTAAATTTTACTACAACACAATCAAATTTTATTAAAATACAATCCAATCTTGGGGCCGGCCTGGTGGCACAAGTGATTAAGCGTGTGCGCTCCGCTGCCGTGGCCAGGGATTCGCCGTTTCAGATCCCTGGCCCGCACCGATGCACTGCTTGTCCAGCCATGCTGTGGCGGCTGTGGCAGCGTCCTGTATAAAGTGGAGGCAGAGGGCCGGCCCCCTGACTTAGCAGTTAAGTGCACACCCTCCGCTGCTGGCGGCCCGAGTTCGGATCCCGGGCACGCACCGACGCACCGCTTCTCCGGCCATGCTGAGGCCGCGTCCCACATACAGCAACTAGAAGGATGTGCAACTATGACATACAACTATCTACTGGGGCTT